GTGCTGTTACAACTCATTAAAATGCATATTTTACTTTATGCTAATTCCTGAGTTTGAGAAAACAACAGCTAGATGCTCCCAATTAAATGTTACCAGTAGGTTTGCTGAGCTATTTGTTTCAAATCTAAATGTGTCCATTTGACTAGCGCAGCAACTACAGTGCAGCTTTTATGTCTTTTAGAGCTTGGTAGAGACTGCCAGTGTTTTATTCTGCTAAATCTTTATAATACAGACTAAAATCAGTTTAAAGCAGAGCAAAGAACTTGTTCAGGGGTGGAGGTGGACAGCGTTTGCAGTGATTTAGACACTGTGCTGTTCTATCAGGGAGCAGAGAGAGCAGAGCCATAAGGCAAACCTTTCTTTTTTTACCAGGTGATCTATGTTCTATCCCTCACCTGTCATGAGCTGTGGGTAATGACCGAAAAAATGAGATTGCAAATCGAGGCTGTTGAAATGAGCTCTCTCTGTAAAGTGGCCGGACTCCCCTCGGTGTAAGGGTGAGGAGGTGGTGTGATCATTTGTTAAGGATGCCTTCTACACTATCTGTCCCTCTGGAGGAGGCTTTTGAACACATTCAGGACTCATTAGAGAGATTTTAACTCACAACTGGCCCAGTACTGTCCCCGAATGAGGGGGTAGCTGGGGACCTCTACCTTATGGATACATTTATCTCAGTTAGCATTAACAGCTGAAAACGTTCCAGCTTAAGTTCCAACAAACCAGGAATGAAGCCGGTCTTCATATTAAAGCAATATTAATATATCTTTTTATTTTTTTTAATTTGTGTAAATCTCCTTTTTTGTTTATGTATATCCAGACTTCCTACTTTATTATTTTCAATTCAGTTCAGTTTATTTCTATAACGCCAATTCACAACACGTGTCATCTCAAGGAACTTTACAGTTCACCAGATCATCCAGTCAGATTGATTCAAAGTTTCTATCCAAGGAAAACCAGCTGATTGCATCGACTTATTGACTAATCAGCAATCCCTCACACTAAGCATGCTTGTAGTGACAGTGGAGAGGAAAAACTCCCTTTCAACAGGAAGAAACCTCCAGTAGAACCAGGCTCAGTGAGAGCGGCCATCTGCTGAGGCGATTTTCTACTCTCGTGTTCAAGCAGTCTGAGGGATTGCTGTAAAATCAATTCCTCTGATTCCATTGATCATTGGGCAATTTGAAATTATGAAAATTAATAGCTTAAGGAAGACATGCAAATTTCCAAAAAACTTTTTTTCAATAAAAAGTTTTTTTCTGATCTGAAGGGATGGTTTTTCCAGCAATATCAGAATAGATGCATTTTTTATTTTTTTTTACTGTGACAGGAGCAGCAACCGAGACATTTGATCAGTAGCCAGATGCAAAAAACACTAATAAAGACGACAGGAAGTCATAGAAGGATGATGTCACAGCAGGTTTTTTTAATTAGTTATCACGTAAACAAAGTTATTCCCATGATCATTGAGAGCAGAAAATGGACAAATCTAGGCCCCGTTTCTAAAGGAAACAGAATTACTGACACAATGCGAGCAAGCGACTGTCCGCTGTAGGCGTTCTCATCTAAGAAAAGTGATGCTGTAAGTCAGTCTGTTGTGTTTTCTTTTTTCACCATTTTAAATAATAACCTGACCTTTGCTGCAATGCTTGTTTCCAACGTCGGTAACCGACTATGATTTTGTTCAGTTGATTCAATTATTTCCTACTTTTCTGGAGTTTAGTTGCAGGGTCAACAGATTGAATAGACAAGAGTAAAGCAGCAGTTTCTCTTTCTGGCTCAGCTCTTTCTTTAACCCAACTCAATGGAGCAGCACCACTGCTGACTTCTCCCCTAGAGGCAAAAACTGAAACCCAAAGAAGCAGTCCGCTTTTTTTGGTTGTAGAATAATGTCCACCGACTTAGAGCCCCTCCCCTCTTTGCTGGAGGAAAAAGCCAACAGAGCCACATTATCAACAAAAACGCAAAGATGAGGTCTTCAGGTTGTTAAATGACATCCTCTTCTCCATATGGACCTGACGTCTTGTCCATTAACACCATAAACAGGATCAGGGGCAATGCTGGCATGTTTAAATCTCTAGAGTTCAGCTTTGATTTTGATTAGTGAAATCTAAAACATAAAAGCAATAAAAACACAGAGCTTCAAACAGAATAAAACGGCAGATTTGCCCCAGAACAAACACCAAGGATGAAAAAGAGCATATGGTGGCTCTGCTTTGCCTCTCTGTGCTCAAGGCCCAGCAAATATAGACCCCAGGAATACCTCCCACACATGTGTCTGCCTTTTTTGTTTTAAACCCCATTAGGGTTGGTTCAGATGTATGAAACATGTGAGATTAGGACCACTGTTTCAAATTCTTATGCATTTTTAAGGAACCTGCTTTTGTTTGCCTTTCACTTTGCTGCTGGTTTACCTGTTTCCTCACTGAGGGACGACTGGACAAAATGATGAAGCGTTTTGTGTTCAGCCTCATACTTCTGAGCCTACCCTCACTAATCGGCAAAAGTTCTATGAGTCTCTTTATGGAGGGATGTGTAACCAAATATAGTAACCCCTCCCTCCTGCCATCTTCCAGCAGTGACGTCACGGTGCGGTAAGCCTAGCGCCATTCTCCCGCTTTACAAGCTAAATCAATGGGAACTACTAGACACATCTGCAATCAACAACAATTATTGAAGATTTCCAGAGGACTCCACCATTGAAATTCACCAGAGCTATAGTGAAAAAAGTAATTCCACCTTTCTGATTCCTGATCCTCCACGGACGGATTGGTTGTTGGATCGCCAACTTGAAGAGGGAGGATTTGCCATCGAACTTTTGGCCAGAGAAAAAACCCGTAATATGTAGCCAACATTTGGAAGAAGAATGTTTTCAAGATGACTTGGATAATAGCGCGTTGTGACAAACACCAGATACAGCACTGGGACTTGATCAACAGCCGATACCGCACCGTGACGTCACTAACCAGTAGGTGGCAGTAGTGTTCTTTGACAAACATGGATGCCTCCAGTAAAGCACATTCACATGAAAATTACTCTGAATTAAAAAAAACGTTTCATTTATTTAACAGTATGGAATAATTTCCTATTTAAATTACATTCAGAAGTTTGAACTCCGAATACGACCGGACTCCTCCTTTAAGAGTTCCCACTCACCACCTCCTTTGGTTGGGGTCCATAAAATCAAAACTCAACCTACCTTGCCGAGCATTCTGAAAAACCATCTAGATCTATGCCATAACAAGGTAAAACAATGATTATTCATAAAGGATCCAGTAATACTTGGAAGCTGTCAATCATCATACAGAAGCATTTCACCAGGTCTTTGACTTTCTGAGAACAGTGGGTAGTGTGTTTTTATCTTAGGTCTAATTTCCTCAGCTGTCAAAGGAAGACATCTGATCTGGTCCTCATTGCCAGTCGGTTCAGTCTAATCTCTTTCACAGCCTCTACTGTCTTTAGGGGCGCCGTATTTGGGGGAAAAGTTAGGAAGATTCTAAGGACCCTAGATTGAGGTGGGGCCCAAAAGAAGATGAAAAGTAACATTTGTAGCCATTCAAAATGTCCCCACTTTCCTCGGCTGGTCGTTTGCTGGTCCTTGGATGGTCCTTGTCTCCCGTGGTCATTTTTAATAGAGAAACTTCCTGCTTTGTAAAGCTTGTAGAAGTAAACCCAACCATAGGCTAAACAGCTAAACTTCTTCCATCTACCTCTATTCATGTTCTTGGGCCGTGAACCAGTGGGCTGGTCTGGATGTCAATATTGGGGCATGGCAAAAGTACAGGCCAGAACCAAATTAGGCAACATCCCAGAGTTTACATCAACTAGGGGCTTCATTTGGATTCACCTGTTTTATGGTGGAAGTTTAGAATTGTGAGATTTGCATAGAAAGGTGTTGATGGAGTTTGAACTTCTCTGTACGTCTATTTCACCCATTGAACTATCGTTATTCATCTATGACAATGGAAACTGTTTTGCATTCTATCACTCCTTTAACATGTATGTCATAAAGTGCTTTTATCTCCTGACTCAGCTGTTTTTCAAAAATAGATAAATGAAATGAAATATATCTCTGTCTAGATAGAATATGTTGGGGGGGGGGGGCACCTGAGGTGAAAATGACAGCTGACCTCTTAGCCTCCCTGCAGCCATCTCTACCTGCCACTATGCTCATTCGCTCACGCGCTCCCGGTTAAGACGTCAGGATTGGACGCAGCGGGGATCCCCGGCACACCGTTACCGACTCGGCGCAGCGCATCATCATCATCATCATCATCCTTTACCGGGAGGAGCAGAGCTCGCGCGGCTCCCAGAACACAGGACTGTTGTTTCTCACTTGGAGCGCAGCTCGCGCGCTAACTCTCCGCTCTGTGCGCTGCTGCAGCTTCTCTGGCAGGAACAGCGGAGGAAACAGAAACTGGTCCCTAGAAGAGAGAACATGGAAGAGCTTTCTACCCTGTTAGTGTGACAGAGGAACCGACCGTCTGTCCTTCTTTAGCGGCACTTGTTCCCCTTCACGTGCGCCCTCTCAGCTGCGCGCGCGTCGCTTCTTTGGACCTCGCTTTTAAAAAAAAGATATAAAAAAAAAAATCCTATGCAACAGTTAGAAACAGTAATGGAAGAGAGGATCGAGCTCTTTTTTTCTTCTTTATTTCATGTTTTCATCGCTGAGAGTAAAGCATCCAGAGGCGCAGTGAGAGGAGCGGAGAAGGCGGCGCCGCGCGGAGATCTTCGCAGGGTCCATCAGGCTGTTCCTGCTCCTGTTTCTGCTCCTGTTTCTGCTCCTTCGCTTCTTCTTTGTTAATCTGCCGCTAAAAGCCTGAAAGAAACGGCTGCAGGCTGAAGGGGACAGAGTTGGTCCGGGTTTAAAGTGGGACAGAAGAGGCAGCGGTCTGAGGACTCCCGCAACATCTGGCAGGTAGGAGCGCGCTGATGCTCAGAAAACAAAAAACAAAGGAAAAAGCAATAATGTTTGATATAAAGGCGCATTCATTTTCACACGATAGTACACCCCTAATTAATAACAGTTGTTTGCATAAAGGTCGCAGCTTCCTAAACACTCAGCATCATAGAACTGCAGGGTTAATCCGCGGTCAGCGTCGCTCTAACCTATTTCTGCTGTAAGGTTGTGGAATTCCGCTTTAAGTTTTTTGCTTTTATATTTTCAGGTATATAAATTATAACTTAAGGCGCACTGAAGTTATTTTTTTTCCCTCAGCAAGCTGGAAATAAAGTAATTTATTTCAAATAACTGATTTTATAATAGAGGACTACAATAACGCTTTGGATGGAAAACATGGAAATGTTAGCTTCATTCATTAAATATTGTTTATTGTTGTTTATTTTTATTTATTTATTTTTTTTGGACAGTGTTGGCAAAAAAAAAAAGACAAAAAGAAGTCAAGCTTTCACTTTAGGTTTTTTTTAATTTTATTTTACTTTTTTGACTTTAGATGACACATCAGTGAGAAATAAGCATTAGGTTGTCATTTATTTGGAGAAAAATGCCATTTTCTGAGGCTGAGTGTGAGGAAGGTGTGTAGGCGTGGAAGGTTAAGGTGGCAGAGCCCAGAGAAACACTGAGGCTCTGCTCTCCCCCTGGCTCACTTTAAACTGCTTTACCTTCACAAGGTGTTATTTATTGATTTATTTCCCCACTAATCTACGGTTTCACTTCTGGTGACAGCAGTTGGACATTTTCTGCAACATTTCTTAATTTCTGAGGGATTTTTTGTGTGAAAGGTGTTCTATTTCCCCTCAGGTGCGGTCCTCTCAGCTCTAAGGATGCTCACTGTGTCTAACAGAAAGGACTCTGTAGCCTTTCCTGCAGATGATCCAAAGTCCTAATTGTTGCTGTGATTGTGTTTGATCTGCCCCCATGAGTGTGAGAAATGAACTGATGAGGAAGTTCACTGGTTTACCTCATTGCTTTAATGATGAAAAGCAGTGAAACTGCTCCAGCGGGCCGTGCTTGGGAACTTAAAGTCAGGTAGATGTGGTTGGTGTGATATTTTTATTAGTTAAGTGAGAAAATAAAACAAACAACTTCCAAATAAGGGCGGCTACCTAATACATCAGTTAGTCATACCTTTAGCTGAGTTTACAGTATTGCATATAGTACAATAAGTATCCAAATTAATGGCGAGGCAAACCTACTCTGTGTTTGCAGATTTTTTTTGCAGTTTTTTGGGATAAAAACTAATCCTGAGCCATGCAGTCAGGTTTAAAAATATCTAAATCAGTTTACAAACTCATTGCCTTGGTTTTTTATGAAATTTACGTTCGCTTTTCATAGTAAACATCTCAGAACTCCTTTGGTTTTCTTTCTTTCTGCCTTTAAATGTCTTGTTTTCATGCTTTATTATGGTTAGTTTAAGTAAAATCCGAGGTGAAAAGTCTCTAGGTTTGGCCATGGTATCTAATCCCGCTGACATTCAAACATTTATCAGGAGAAAAATAACATTTCAGGTTTAAAATTACGGAACTTTGTATTTGCTATTTTGATTTTTAATACCCAGTTTGTTTTTACTGTAGCGGATCTGAACAAATCTTTTTTTGTTTTTCTTTCCTTATCAAAGTATTAAATCTGTCTGATGACAAATTATAACAAAAATAAACAATAAAGAATTACAAATGCGTTAAGAAAACACATTAAACATTGAGCTACGGCTAGAATGAGGTGGAGAAGTGGGGATGAGGTTGATTGAGGCTGCTGTGCTGGAATGAGGTTGCTCTGTAGTTTGGAGGTTCATGCCAATAGGCTGGTTTCTGTATCTGGCAGCAGAGCGCCATCACTCCTCTCCAGCCTGTACCTCCTAACTCACAGCTATTGCCAGAAGCTGATTTATTCCTCATCCTTACTGTGTACTGCCCATAATGTGGTCCGTGGTCATTATCATCACTTCACAGTTGGCCGACCCGGCCACAGCTTATGTCTGTGTGTTGTGTATACAGTAAGGTTAGATGGGTGCTTTGTCATAAAGAATTTATTAGAAGGTGTTTGCCGTAGACCTGCCTGTTCCACACTTGTATCAGGGCTGTTGGACATCTTTTTGTTTCTAGGAACGCTCCTATTTCGACTGTGGGGACCAGAACCAGAGAACTGGTCCACTTTTCTAACCCGTCGCCTCCTAAACAGACAAAATATTCCAGGCCAGCTTGTTAGAGTCCCATTTTCAGCGGGAGGAAGGAAAATGGGAAACTCAAATGGATTTTAAATGAATTAATGAAACATTTTTAACGCTTCAAACTGAAAAGCAGAGTTTTTCTTTTTCTCCTTCGTTCCATGTTTGAAGAAAAGTATTTTAAAGGGAGATTTCATTGAAACGGAATGGAGCTCAGTTCAGTAGTATAACCGCACTCTTTCAGGAAAGTTTAATTTCAAAGTCACAACATGGGACAAATTTCAACCCTTTTAGATTTTCTTTAAAAATTCCTTTAAAAAATACGTAGAAACTACTAATGTCGCAGAAAAAAAATCTGGTATTTATAAAGGGCGAATTCTAATTGGCTAAAATCAGAAATCAACTTTTGCAAAAAAACAAAAATAAAACAGATTTTTGCATGAACTGTGTTCTATTACTGGGCCTTATTTGGCTTTAAAAAAGTTCCTACAAGCATTGGTATTTCCTCATAGCTGTATCAGCTCTATTGCAGCAGCCCTTTTTGTGCTGCATTTACCTCTGATTATAAAAGTCTGATAGCGTTCTGGAGGAATCCTGTCCAGATTTCACTGAACTCATCGCGTGTGTGTGGCTGCGATCCCTGGTTTGCCCAAAGGTTCATAGTCATTGAAGGGTTTGCTATTTGTTAGGCTGGTAGAAAAAAAACAAAGTGTTGTTTATAGTTTTTGCCTTTATTTTGAAAAAGTTCAGACTTAGTATATATTGACCTGTCTGTGTGTGTGTGTGTGTGTGTGTGTGTGTGTGTGTGTGTGTGTGTGTGTGTGTGTGTGTGTGTGTGTGTGTGCATCATTTACACCTTATCCAGGGATTATTCGCCTTGAAGAGCGTGATAAAAGGAGTGCGGCGCTGCATTAGAGACCCCATTCCTGCATGTGTGTGTTTTTGAATCTTAACTTGATGGAAATTTAATAGGAACACGGTGTTTGACCTTTCTCACAGTTTGTTCAGAGGCAGATCGGCTACAGCTTTCTGTGCTTATATACTCGTTAGCGGTTAAAGGGACGACATTTAACAATTAGATAGTTGAACAGTTAGCTGCAGAAGATTTTCTGGATTTTCCTCTTTTCACTAATATGCACTATTCTAGCTCTCTGGTCGCAGCCTGAAGAGCACAGCAGCACTGAGGGTAAAACAGATCCTCTCTTCAATTATAGAAATTTTTATAGCCGGACATACAAACTTTACTATCTCTCTCTCTCTCTCTCTTTATATATATATATATATATATATATATATATATATATATAGTAGATAAAATATCATTTATCTGTATTTTTATATATTTATATATATATATATATTCTTTTTTTCTTTTTTTACTGTGTATATATATATTTATATATATATATTTACTGTATATATATATGTACGTATATATATATATATATATA